AGTTCTGAAGGCAAATGGGGTCCAACCCGTTACTAGCGTGGTATACCTAATAAAGTGGCCGGTGAGTGTATATACTGTATATATATATTTGTGTTGCTAAGACTGAGTGGTCTGTTGAATGACCGTTGTATTTGTTCAAATAATTGTTATGGGCAGGTTACATTACAATATAAAAAATGTTTGTCATAATCATGTCTTGTGATTATTTGTCAGGAGTTTTACTTTTAAAATGTAAGTGTATTTAATTTTGTTGTAATGCAAATACACTACAAATTAAACCAAGATTTAGAATTAATATTGTTTTAAACCAAGATTTAGAATAATTACCATTTTGATCTCTATGGTAATGTGTGACTGGGCCTCGTGCCACTTTATGTTCAACAAATTGGGCCCCAAGGTCAAAAAGGCTGAGAAACCCTGGTTTAGATCATATTGTTCTACCCATTCAGTTTTTTTTCTATTTTCCATGTTGTTTTCTGAACTATTACATCACAGTATTTATGACAGAACCTGTAAATGAGGTCTGGACATACCAACTAAACAGTTTTGTCGTCTTCATCCTCCTCTGGCTCTGGGTCAGACTCTGGCTCCAACATGTAAGGCTGAAAGGAAAAGTCTTCTCTTGTTGACATCTTTCAAATGATTTATGAAGAAAAAGTTTCTACGCCCCTATCAAACTTGTATCTCTGCTATCAAACTAGAGTGGACCGCTCTAGAAGCACCTCATTTGGATGTAAAGAGACAGCCTCAAAACGAGTTGATTTGAAACACACCTCAGAAAAGGGTTGAAAGAGGGGYTTGTGGARTTACAATAAGGAGGAATTCAGACCAAAACATTGCAATTTCACTACATATATACCCCAACTGAATGATTTCAATTTGAAAAAGGATTTATAAAGACTGTATGTCTCCTTTTAAAATAGACATAAWGCACTATTTATTCTTGTCCAAAACATATAGGTGATGGATAGAAATGTGCAGGTTAAAATAAATGTACTCAGAAAGCTTGCTGGCCTTAAACCTAATAAATTCCCTGTCTTTTTTTTTCCACCATTTTGTCTTGCTTGCATCTTTCTTTTTTGCTCACTATCCGACCAAGTATGCCATTCCTCTCAGTTGGTTTCATTCCTTTGTGTTCAGCCTTATTTAAATATTAGTTAAAAATGTTACATCTTGCTGCAATCGTATCTGCTTTTTTTYCTCCCTGTGACATGTCCAGGTGATGGTTGCCGAGGCTCTGGACATAAGCAGAGAGACATACTTGGCCATCCTAATGGATCGTGCCTGTAATGGCCCAGTCATTGTGGGAAGCCCCCAGGGAGGTATGGATATCGAAGAAGTGGCTGCCAGCAACCCAGAACTTATCTTTAAGGTATTTTATATTTAGTTTTTTTACTCATCACTGAAATATTTATTAATTAATGGGAAAACAATACATACTGACAGCTTAAATGACCTAAGATAGATTTCTAAAATAATTACTTGGGTAAATACTTTGATTGTTGTTATTTAACACCTGACTTGGCAACGTCCTGAACAGAAACACGTACAATGATCCTGTTTGTTTTGTGTTACTATTATTTGGATTTAATTGAGAGTTCTTGGCAAGTCATTGTCAGCAAATGTACACTTTAAGCGCCACATATGCTTACATCTCGTCACTATATAATCAGGTAATTTGCAAAACTATATATCGTATATTTTAAATGCCTCAGCTGAGATCTTCATTTTGCTGATCGGACTCACTTCATTTTTCCACTTTCTGTTTCAGACTTGAGCACAAATTCTTTCTTTTCATGTCCATTTACGTATAAGTGTCAACAATTACAGAGAAAAAATGGGTTTTGTAGTGTTTTGCTTATTTACAGCGGGTAAAATAAGTATTGAACACATCAACATTTTTCTCAGTAAATATATTACTAGAGGTGCTAATGACA